TCAGCGACCTCTGTGTGTCCCTGCAGGCCTGAAGTCCAGCTGCCCTCCTCAGAAAGCAGACAAAGACCAGAGTGAAGCTCTGGTGAGTCCCATCTGTCCAACTGTGTGGAACACCTCTGACCTCCATGAGCTCAGTTATCTTTACATGTGGGAACGCGGTGGAACCACATCACGAGCTTAACGTTTCTTTAACAGGTTTTTTTCTCCACTGCTTGGTTAAATTACAGATGATGTCTCGATAGAAAGTATTAATCTGCATGTTGACTGTAAAAAGAAAAAACAGGCCAAAACTGTAAAATAATGTAAAAGTACTTTTTAAAAACTGTATTTAAATCAGAAAAAAAGTGAAAGGAACAGTCTGTTTATTAAGAATAAAAAAATGGTGAATAAGTGTTAATTGTTATATTTCAGATTTTGAATTTTTACAGCATTTGATTGTAAAATTAAAATATTTTTACTGTAAATCGCAAAATAAGTGAAAGTTTTGCAGATATTTGCTGTTATTTTAGTGGAAATCCTCAATATACTGAGGATTTTTAAAATGGTTAATAATTGTTCTAATTGTTATGTTATAGATTTTCACAGTTTTGCTAAATTACAGATAATATTTAATAAAATTATATCTTTATGTTGACTGTAAAAAAAAAAGACCAAAATTGTAAACACGTTGTTGTTGTTGTTTTTGTTGTTGTTTTTACAGCATTTTAATGTAAAATTAAAACATTTTTAATGTATTTAAATCAGCAAAATAAATCACAGTTTTACAGATTTAAAAAATGGTAGATAATAATGATCTAATTGTTAAATTAAAGTTATTTTTATATGATACATTTCCCTCTTTTGCAAAATTACAGATAATATTTAATAAAATTAAATCTCGAAAAACATTAATTTACATATTGAACATATTTTTTTTAAACTGTAAATAATATTCACATCAATAATATATATTTTTTGCAAATAGTAATTTGTTCTTTAACAGCCTTTGACTGTAAATTACACTACTTTTATTTATTAATTTTTTTTACTGTATTTAATTGTTGTTTTAATTTGTTTTTCAAAATAACTTGTTTGACAGATTTATGTTTGAAAGAAAAAAAATATTAAGGATTGAAAATAGTAAATATTTTTCAATTTTGAGATTTAACCTGTTTCGTGAAATCACAGATAAAATCACAGAAATAACATCCACATTAAAAAATAAATCTGTGTTTTAGTGTAATTTATTCTTTCACAGTGTGTGACCTTAACATGACATCGTTTTTCTGTGTTTAAATCAGCTCACAGTGCTGATATTTGACAGATATCTGCTGTTACTGTCACAGTTTTTAGTTTTCTAACATGTCTTTCTGTCTCCGGTGCTGCCAGATTGTTTGTTTTGTGTGTGTGTGTGGATTTATTTTACAGTTCGCTTCAACACTGACATGAATGTCTAGTTAGCCTCTAGTGTGTGTTTGTGTGGAGGATGTCTGCAGCCCGCTGCAGCCTTTCTGGGTTAATGACACTGAATCAGGCTAAAGCTGGCTCACCTCTGGCCTGGATCTCCTCCCTGTCATGTGTTGCTCTGACCCGCTGTCTCCTGCTGCAGCGTCTGACCGACGACTCTCACAAGCTGCCCCCTGGTGGTTCCGGCGCCGAAGCTGCACAAGGTGATTCCCGGCCGCCGGTCGCGTTTGTGCTTCACCCCGTTTGCTCCCGGCGCGCTAACACGTCTGCCTGTTGTGCGAGGAAAGCGAGCGTGTAAATGTGGAGGACGGCAGCGTGTTTCATCAGCTGTCAGTGCAACACAAATGTGACCTTGTCGCTCGCCGTAGCGCCGCGTCACCGGCAGACACATCATGATTGACAGGTCACCATGAAGCCACCACTCCAGCACGCCGCTGACACTCGCTGCCTTGTTATCTCACCTTTACCTTCCTCTAATCTGTTGTGGTGCCAGAAACCTGCATCAGCAGCACGTTGGGTTCTGAAGGAGTTTGTTCTCATCTTACAGCCTCTGGTACCTGCATGTTCCAACCTGTGGATTAACTCATCAGCTGCAGTCCAGACTGTAGACATCAGAACCTGCTTCAGTAGTTTTCTGGCTGTCTGAGGCTTCAGAACCAGAAGCGCTGCAGATTCTGGTTCTGACACTTAGCTGAAGTGTCTGTCTGCCCCATGCTGCTTCTCTCTCCGGGTTTCTCCTGCTTTGTGTTGCATTTGAAGCCCGTTGTGTTGCCCGCCTCCCTGTGGACTGAGGCTATTTCTCGCCACCTCTGCTGGTTTGATTTGGGCCCGGTTGCCTGCAGCAGAACCGTCCCGTATGTTCTGACGTCCCGTTGCTCTGTCCTGCCTCCTGCAGAGAGGACTCCATGCGGGGCCCAGAGGCAGAAGAAGCCTCGCCAGGCGCCGGACCTCTCCGAGCGGATCCAGCGCCCGCCCGGACCTGCAGAACCGCAGCACGAACACACCGTCTCCCTGGAGAACCGTGAGTCCCCCGGCGCTGTCTTATTTCCGTCCTCCCTGGCCGACCTCCTGACCTCTCCGCTCGCCTCCTCAGGCCCTGCTTCCTTCCCCGACGTCTTCGAAGATGACGTCTCCTCCTCCTCCTCCTCCTCCTCGCCCACCGAGCACCAATCGCAGGCCTTCCCCTCGCTGCCGGGCCTCTCCAGTGACCAACTGCTGAGCTCGGCTGTGGGCCCGCCCCTGAGCCTCAGTCCCAGCCAGGTGAGCAGATCTAACCAGGAAATACCTGAACAAACTCTAAACGTGCAGCTTTTTGCCAGTTAACATGTCCTGCTGTAATTATACACCAGGTACAAGCTACACAAGTGCATTTTATTTTGAAAAGCCAGCATGTATCTTGAACCCTCATCAGATTGTTTTAACATCTTTGAGCTTTTACTTTGAAAGTGTAGCACAGCCTCAACGGGGTTTTTTAAACACAGTTCTTTGCAGTTTTCGTAAAAAGCGTACAATGAATTGCTACCAAAAGTCACAGCAGACCACTCCTGGTAGAGCCGCGTGTTTTCATACGTAATTATTGTGTGTGTGTGTGTGTGTGTGTGTGTGTTTTTTTTAAAGATGCAGGACGAGTTAGCCGCCGAAAATTATGACAGAAGAATCTACAATAAAATTAAATCGGAGGAAAAACACATTACAGCGAAGATTAGCTGACTGATGAGACGATAAAAAGCTAAAAGTCTTATTCGACTTCGTTCTTTAAATGTTTGCACTTTGCTGTAACATCGTAAATTTATCTTATCTCATCTTAGCTTAGCATATCCTATCCTAAATTATCTTATGTTAGCTTAGCTTAGCTTATCCATCTTATCTTACCTTGTCTTAGCTTAGCTTATCCTATCTTATCTTACGTTAGCTTAGCCATCCTATCTTACCTTAGCTAAGCTTATCTTGTCTTGTCTTATCTTAGCTAACTTAGCTTATCTTATCTTAGTTTAGCTTATCTTGTCTTAGCTTGTCTTAGCTAACTTAGCTTGTCTTATCTTCGCTTATCTTATCTTGTCTTGTCTTGTCTTAGCTCATCTTATCTTATCCAACATCCAGTGACTCTGTAGACAATATAACGTTTATATAACACATAATTATACGTTTTGAGACCGACTGAACTTTTATTCATTCTGCCTCCAGTCTGGTTTGGCGTTGCTCCCGGCAACCGAGGGCATCAGACAACCCATGAGTGTGACACTGGGCGAGCCCAACGCCGTGGCAACAACCGGAAGGCCGAACCATGGGATGTACATGACCTGTCAGACCACGCCCCTGCTGCCGAAGGTGAGCTCTGCCACCACGCTGCTGCTCTCCGTTTAGTCTTAATTACGATGCAGCGTCTTCATGGTGAGCAACATGTGGACTGTTTGCGTGCGCGGCAGGTTTCCAGCGTTGGAGGCGAGAGGCCTTTGACCCGACAGGATGGTCACTCCTCTGCCTCCTCAACAACAACGCTCCGCTCTGAATTCATTACTGTCAATTTGCACTTGCGGGGGAGCTCAGCGTTCGCCCCGCGGGTCAACACGTTCACGCCAAGCAGCTCGATTGCATGTCAGAACAAGCACGCGCTGTCACCCGGAGATTTGTGAGGCATTTGTACAAATCGTGTAAGAGTTTAACCTTGACACGGGGCAAATGCTGCCGCGCAGCGGGAGGCGACGTGACATTTCCTCGCCGGCGACGCTGCTGCTCTTGAAACCAGTCGCTGTGGAGCCTCGTTGGAGTTCACAGTCAGCTCAGACTCTAAAATCTGAGCTTAAGATCATCTCTTCAAAATCACTTGAATCTCCTAAATCTCCACATCACGTTTAGAAAACTCTCCAAATGAATGCATGAACTAGATGCTGTGAAAACAGACAAACCTTCTGAGCTTCTTGGTCTGAGAACTATGATCGAATCAGAACCAGAGAACAGAGGAGCCAGTTGGTGGAGAAACATTCAGCTGATGGTGGAACATCTTTCTGCTGATGGTGGAACATCTTTCTACTGATGGTGGAACATCTTTCTACATGATGGTGGAACATCTTTCTACTTGATGGTGGAACATCTTTCTACGTCTGATGGTGGAACATCTTTCTACGTCTGATGGTGGAACATCTTTCTACGTCTGATGGTGGAACATCTTTCTACATCTGATGGTGGAACATCTTTCTACGTCTGATGGTGGAACATCTTTCTACATGATGGTGGAACATCTTTAGAGCTTTTAGAGGCTGTAAACGTGACACTGTTCAGGATTGTGGTCCAGTTTCAGTTTGTGGTTGTTTTGTGTGTCTGCAGACAGCTCAGCCCTCCAGCCCCACCTGCCCCTCGGCGTTAACCCCCGCCCTCAACTTCAACCATCTCCCCCGTCCACGGAAACCGCGGGACACCAAACCCAAGATGAGGAAACTCAAGTATCACCAGTACATTCCTCCGGACCAGAGGGGAGGCTCTGGGACTGGAGGTACCGATCCATCTGTTCTGCAGTTCCTCTCGTTTGTCCCGTCAGTTGGCTCTCGTGTTGAGGTGTTTGCGTTTGCTTCCAGGGGGAGGAGCCAAACAGAAGAGCCCTGCCCCCACCCAGCCTTTGGACCCGGCCTATTCCCACCTCCTGAAACAGCAGCAGGTCATCCTCCAGCTCCAGATCCTCCAGAACCAGCAGCAGCAAAAGCAGCAGCAGCAGCAGCAGCAGCGAGTACAACCACAGCAACAGGTCCCTGCTGCACCCAGGTAACGGTTAAACCATCCAGAACCTCCTCAGAACCAGCTGGTACTGTCTCTACAGCACCTTTATCTACTGACCAGAGTTCTACCTTCAGACTGTGAATGTTCCAGAGTTCCAGGTCCTTGAAGTCCACAGAGGAGGGTCCACATTGATCACTTTAATGGACTCATTCCATCATTTCTGACCCAAAATACCTCAAAGACATAAACTGACCACAAAAAGAGACGAAACGGACACAAGAAGGGTTAAAGTTAATTTAATTAAATTTCAGAGAAACACAACTGTTCTGGTAGAACCTGACACCAGATCAGGTTGACATCCTGCAGAACTCTGATTAGTAAATAAAGATACTGTAGATGCAGAACCAGCTGGTTCTGAGGAGGTTCTGAGTAGGACTGATGGGATTTGTTTGTCCAGATGTGGTTGATTTTCTCTGAGACGGTCCAGTGAGATGGTTTCAGATGCATTGAAGCTGCTGTTGTTCCTCCAGTGGAGACCTCGGCGATGCTCTGAAGTCTTCTGGAGCGACGCCTGTCCACGTCCAGCCCGTTCCCGCCACGACGAACCAAACCCCCGCCGACCAGAACCCCGCATCCAAGCCAGAACTCCTCCCTGCCAATCTGGTTGATTTAACGGTAAGAAGAACCTGAAAGTGGATTTAACTAAAATAAAAACACATGAACGGCTGAATGAAGCTTTAATTGCATCTGGTTTTGTTTTCTTCATTTTATATATATTTTTAATTACTAGCAGTAGTTTTCCTTTTAAGCAGCGCTGCTTTAGTGGAATAATTCCTAATTATGTTGGTCCTGTTATTTTTTTTTTATTTATTGTGTTTATTTTTAATCAGTTGAAGCTGTTTTATTTGATTTAAATGTTTATCTGGACACTTACATGTGCTTTTTCCTCCATAAATTTCTGATTTAATTTTTTTTTTAGCTGATTTATTTTAGGCTCTTTATTTGTATTTTTATTAATTTAGTATTATTTTTAATTTATGAAAACTGTTTTATCAGATTTGGAATTTGTGTTTGAATGATGCTTTTCACTCATAAATGTAGTATTTAAAAAATGTTTTTATTATAAGCTGTTTTTTATGTTTTATTTTTATTCAGTGAAAGCTGTTTTGTCAGATTTAGAATTTTTAAATGTGTATTTGGACAGTAACATATATTTTTTTCAAGAATACAGTCATGATTTAAACATTTCTTATATTTTAGAATACTATCATTATTATTATTTGGATTTTTTTGTGTGTGTTATTTTTAATCAGTTGCAGTTGTTTTATCTGATTTCCATCATTTCTGGCATCAGAACTTCATCAGTGCAGCAGATAAACACACGACATTTAGGAGGAAGAACACTTTTCATTTCTTCAACTGCAACCAAATCAATACGTCAAAACGCTACGGCAAATGAAGCGTCAACGTATTTAGGCTCGCGCCATGATTCTTTTTCTTTGAGTCATTTTGGACAATTCTGGGTAAATCTGGACTGAATCAGTTCTGGACAAATGTTGGAATTTAAAAACGTGTGTCTGGATATTTATATATGTTTTGCTATGATTTCAACATTTTTTTTGTTTAAGCTGATTTATTATCATAGTTTTTTTTTTTATAGCTTGTGCAGTTATATATCCACATGCTGAAGGTTTTCTTTATGACGTTGAACTATTTCCGCTCTGTAGATGTTGGTTCCAGCCTTAAAATCCTCTTTTTGTGTTTCTCAGGTGTCCGAGTTGCGGCAGCAGCTACGTAAGCGAGGCCTCCCCGTCTCCGGCACCAAACCCGCCCTGCTGCAGCGCCTCCGTCCCTTCCAGCTCCCCCCAGCCTGCCTCCCCCCGGCCCCCCTCTGTCAGCTGGGTCCCGGCCTGGAGCCCCTCGGCCGGAGCCCGGCCTCCAGCTCCAGCTCCGGACCCGACTCGCCCGGCAGCAGCCCGACCCAGCAGCTGTACACGACGCAGGACCGAGGGATCCCTAATGGGATCCTCAGCTCGGTGAGCCTGGTGGGCGAGCACGGCGCCCTCGCCAACGCCGTCTTCTTGGCTCCGGCCGGCGCCGCCTCAGAGGCCCCCAGCCCCAGCCTGCCCATGTCGTCGTCGTCGCCCCTACAGGGCGGGACGCCCTGGAGGCCGGAGGACCAGCAGCAGCAACAGCAGCAGGAGCTGAACGTGGAGCTGGAGATGAGGGAGCGGATCAGAACCAGGCCCAGGGAGCGCTCCACGCAGCCGGGCAGCGAGGTGAGAACCCCCGCCTCTGATCTCTGCTGCTTTCGTGGGATTTATAGAAACGGCCTCATTAACGTTTCCCATCATGCACCAGGCCTGCGGAGGATCCCTGCATCCGTTCCTGCAACAGGACCCAGGATGCTCCAGGGGGAAGCCCGACGCCGAGGTGCTGCTCACGCAGGTGAATGTACAAACACATCGGCTATAAATGCACATGAACGAGTCCTTTCAGCCCGACGTGTGAGCAATCTCTCATCGCCACCTGTCAGCTAATTTGGCCGGCTTTCTGATCAGGTGTTCTGCTGCCAGCCGTGTGATGTGATTGGCCATGACTTTGAGCTGCCAGTGCAGATTACGGCGAGTCCTGCTCAGACCTTACCCGGTGTTCGCAGCTTGGAGGAGGAACTACAGGAGGCGATCCAGAAAGCACAGGTTAGACTCTGCAGATAAACAAGAGGTTACCCACAGCGTCTCGTGTTCACAGACAACCGAGTGTTTTCTTCCTTTTTCTCTGGCAACAGATGGACCCTCGGCAGTCTATCGACGACATCCTGGATGAGCCCATCGCTTGTGTCGGTGAGTTTCACATAATTACACCTCTGAAGACGTGTTTGCTTATTAAAAAGTCACCAGGATGATGTTATTTATCAGCAAGAAACTGTAAAAACAGAGATTTTCTCTGCTATGTGCACAATTGTCCAAATTTGAGCTAAAAATCGGGACTTCACTTCAACATCACCGTATTCTCCGTGTTTCATTTAAAAACTTGGAGAAAAAAAACAACCACAAAAAGACACAAATCTGCTCCAGAAACAAACAAAATTAGAGCAGGACGACTAAAAACTGACCCAAAGACAAATAAAAGAAGAAAAGTGACAAAAACAGAACAAGAAGCCCAGGACGCAACAAAACCAGACGAGATGTGGAGATAAAACTAAAGACTGATCACAGAAACACGGAATTTAAAAAACGAGACACAAAATGACAGAAATGAGACAAAACTGTAAGAAATGAGTTAAAACGAGACGCTGAGGAGCTGCTCAGGAGGAGCTGCTCAGGGTTCGGCTGCTTGGTGAAGACCAGAACTTGTCAGGGTTCTGTCTGACCCGCTGTGCTTCGTCTCTTTCAGGTTCCGTGAGTGTCTCGGATCATAAAAGCCACTCGGACCTTCCTCCTCCTCCTCCTCCTCCTCCTCCTGCTGCTCCTCCGGCGGCCGACCAGCAGCACCACCGGGACGACACCTTCCTGCCGTCTCCGCTCTGCTCCTCGCTGCTCCTGGAGCTTCCTCCGTCTCCCGCCGTGATCAACCCCAGCCAGGTCCTGCCGGCTCCTCCCCCGCCTCCCCTCTGCACCTCCCCGCCGCCGCCGTCCGCCGGGAGGTCGAGGAAGCGCCGCGCCCCGACGCCGTTCGACGCTGCCGACTGGCTGGAAACGCTGACCTCCGGGCTCCGCCCCCTGACCCCGCCCGCGGCCCCGTTCGTGGAGTCCGACTTCAGCCTGGACTCGGACCTGAACGTGAACCGGGTTCTGGATCTGATGATAGAGCAGTGGTGAGGGCGCGGAGGGAGGTTCTGCTGGTTTCTGGACAGTGGCGGAGGATTTACGAAGGTCGTGAACTGGATGACTCCGACTGAGGGCACAAGAGAGCGTTTAGGGCTCGATCCATCCGTCTGATTGGCTGCCAGAGTTGCCATGGTAACAGGACACACCCCTCCCAGCTCTTAAATGCCCCGGCTGTGTTATTTTTATTATTTTTATTACCCCCTGGTCCAGATTATATCCTGCACCAAATATTCAAGGATACAGAACAAACTCTTTGACTTTATTTCAGAAGACAAAACACGATTTAAATCCGTTAAACGAGCGGCTTCGTGCACAAACTGAATTCATCAGGAAAGAAAGACGCGGTTCGGTTTTCCGACAGTCTGACGTCTGGATCTCAGAGTCAGCGGCTCAAATGAAGTTACAGCCGGATTCAGGACGACTTGCTCTGATTGGTTCACGCAGCAGAAACATAAACGGCTGAAGTCCTGTAGAACCGCCTCGTGGCTCAGTCGGACGTTAAATCTCAAGTTCAGCAGATGAACTGAATCACAACACGACATGCTGTCATTGGCTTCAGTCCAACATGTTTTAATGTTTTCCAAAAAAGAAAACAAAAGACAAAATATCCGGCTGACAAGCGTTCTAACAGCTGAATATTCTGTCCATCAACACTCACATTCAAAAAATCCACTAATTCAGAATTTACTGATTTAATGCAGATTTTTTTCTTTCATTATTATTAGTTTTTATTCCAAAGGGCTTTTTTTGCATTTATCTCAGATTTTATTTTTTTCCTTTTTCCTCAAAAAGTCACACCTGTGATTGTGAAAAAGCCAAAAAAGAAATATTTCTCCATTTAACGTTGATGTAGCCGCTTATTGTTTATTCCTCTGCCTGAAAAACACAAAACACGTCATCCAGACCAGGCAAGACAAACGTTTAAGGATACAGGTTAAGATTTTGATTTTGTTAGATTTTTTAAAATTTTATTTTATACGCCGATGACACAACTTTATCTGTTACAGAACAGTTTAAATGCAAACTAGTCGAGGCAAGAACAGTCACTTTGGGTGCAAAATCTGCATTATTTCATGAAACGATGAAGATATTTTCATTATTTTTCACCTCGTAGGTGTTTAATTATGTGACGTATGGACACAGAACACAACCTGGAGGTCTTCCTGTCCTGTAGGAGTAATCTGGACCGCCGGGGTATTAACCAGCCGGGGGTGTATTCTGGGTAGTTTGTTCCACGAAACCTCAGATTAAACCCTCGCTCAGACCTCGGATTTAAACGCACTCGCGCCCAGGCAGGAAACAGGCGACACACCTGAGCGCTGACCCAGTCGGCCGCTCGCTCAAACAAAAAGGAAGCCTGGTTGGTTTAAACGTGCTTCCCGGTCGCGCCGCCAGAATGTTGTTCCTGACTGATCTCCAGAACGCCACGGCGGGTCCGGGCCCGGTGTTGACTCAGCCGCTCATAAAGCCCACTCAGAGTGTGTGAAAGCCAGACAGCGTGAGAGGCTCCAGACCTTCACCCGGTGCCAGACACACAGTCGGCATGCGGAGCGACGCCGCTGGCGGCGAGCGGCGAGCGTGTTGCAGACGTGTGCGGCTGCTTCTGCGAAGTCGACACACAAACGCTTCCGTGTGTGTTTATCAGAAGTCAAACACACTCGTAGCTGTTTGTCGGCCGACGTGTGAGCGGATGAAGACGCGTCGGTGTCCACGGTTTTAATCGCGGCCTCTGTGCCAGCGGGTGCTGACGCCGCCGCCCGCCGTAATCATCGGAACAACCACATTAGCGCCGCCGTTCTCCAGGAGAGCAATCAGCCAGAAACGGACCCCGTTCGAATGCACCAATCAGCCGAGTGAGAGTTTGCTGGTGGCTCGGCGGAAACAGGTGGTCATTTTGTTCCCTGATTAACCCCCAGCAGCGTCTGGCCGCCGCTCGCCTGCTCGCCCGCAGCCGGCCGAGCCAGATTTAGCACGATTTATAACCCGACACCAAGGCCACACCTGTTCACTTTGTGTAAATTAATTCCACAAATGCATCGCTGGACGCTGGTAGACCTCTGGGACACGGAGAGAAGAAAAAAACTCATGTTGGGAGGATCGGCACAAAGAGGACAATCAGGTGACGCACGAGGATCGACATTCGCTCATTATGTCGGAGAGTTAACCTGCTTATCGTCGGGATTCTGACGAAAACGAAGCGGTTCTGTTCAGTTGTGGGACTTTGGTGATGCAGGTTTTCCACATCCAAGATTTAGCAGCTCTTCAAAAAAAACCCAGTAGTCCTACAAAACAAACAGCTTCACTCACATAAATGCAAACTAGTCGTGTTGGGAGGAAAGGCAGGTGACATATGCACCTCACAGCCTCAACACGGCGAGCTACAGACCTTACAAAATGAAGAACCCAACAATCCAAAGCTGCCGTTGGACTTCCTCTGAGCAGCGGTGGGAAGGAACCGAACCCCCCACATCTGAGTAGAAAAGAGTTTATTATGTCGGTCAGTTAACCAAGATTTAGCAGCCCGTCAAAAAAAGAAAAAAAAACTGTTTTAATCACACAATTGCAAACTAATCAGCTACAAGCTGCAGCGAGTTTTATCCAAAAACTCCTTGAATTCGGGCAAAAAGGAATCAAATGTTCCTCCGAGCTCCAACAATCTGACGCTCAGATCTCAAACCCGACACATGAGCTAAATCCAACATACTTGGGTGTGACTGTGCTGCTTTATTGTGGCGTTTCTACATCTAAAATGTATTGCCCCTTCAAAATAAAACTCACCAACGTGTTGGGAGGAACGACTCTGATCAGGTGACGCTGCTTTCATATTCCGGCAGAAATGACTTCACTATTTGTTTTCCGTTCTCGGGTCCACTTACGTTAATGAAAAATATGCGACAGCCTCCATTAACCCGCTGCACCACATCACCGAGGATCCCATCTACATGAAATTAAACCGTGACCTTAATTGGCTTCGTGTCCCATCAGTCACTCTGCAGGGCTCTCATTGGCTCCCAGTCATTTGAATAAAACGTCTCTGTCTGTATTGTGTGAGAGCAAAGCGCTGACTTGTTTGTATTTTGGGCGCAGAAACCTGATGCTCGTGTCGTTTCTGTGCACGCCGCCGCCGCCGCCGCCTCGTTTCCGATGACAGACTGACGGCGAATTATCGGAGCGAGATTATCTGCAGCCTTCTGCCGAACACTTCCTGTACAGCTTTCACTGCACAGACGATGAAAAATGCAGCAGAGTGCGGACGGACGTCTATGATAATCATAGCGATCGATAAGCACCGCCTGCTGCAGGAAAAAAAAAAACGTTGATAGGCAGGAGAGTAAGATGCTACCTCCTGTGACTTCCACTGCTTCACGGCTAACACCAGTGTTTTCCTTGTTTCTTATTTAATTTCCAAACGCTGGTTTCCTGGAACCCTCCCGAGACGTTTCGTCGAGCTGAGCTTCGACCCTCGGCGTTTCAGACGGTGAAGCCGGAGGCGTTTCAGGAAGCCGTTGGCCGCTCGCTGCTAACAAAACGCCTTATTCTGAAAAAAATGTGAGACAAAATAAAGATGTGTTTGCTTTTATTTATTATGTCACTTATTTGTCCAAGAAATGTATTTAAAAGCATTGAGAAAATTAAAGTCTTAATAGATTTTCCATGTGCTGCGTCTGTCTTCCTTTCATCCGAGCCGCCTGCTGCTCTGAGGATTAACCAGACTTTCAGATTTCACGAGAAACTGTCCCAAATTATGTCTTATCAAACACTGATGATCGCAAAGCAAATAAAATATTCATTTGTTCGCTTCTTAAACGGCCACGAAACATGCACACGGTTTGATCGTTAATCTTCATGATGATGCAGTGAATGAAACAGGACGAGCTACGACCTGCAGTCCATCGGCGTGACGACGATACGACCTGATGTCCTTCTACCGCCGTGAATCAATCTGATGTTATTTAAAATGAATTATGGATGAAAATAAACCCCCCGAGATGCATCAGAGGCCTCACATGTTCAGGTCACGCACACGCAGGAAAATCTTTAATAAATGCGAAACCCAACGACGATGTTTTATCGGTTTAATGATGTTAGTTTTTAGCATGCTAACGCGAGCTAATTAGCATGAAAACAAGGTACAGCTGCAGCTAATGGGAATATCAGCAGCTCTGCATGTATTTATTCATGAGCCACAACATCTTTACAAACAGGATTTATGTTTTATTTTTCTTACAGCATTTGACTGTAAATTACAGGATTTTGATTTTTTTTTTACTGTATTTAAATAAACAAAAACAATCATTATTTTACAGATATTTCTTTTTTTTTTGTAACTATTTTTTAAAAACATTTATTTTACACTTTTTTTTAAAGACACTAAATAGTAAAATCACAGAAAAGAAATGATGAATTTAAATGTGAACCATTAAAAAACTTAACGGGACCAAAAAGTTGTGAGTTTTTAATATCAGCTTTCATTTTGTTCCTGTTTTGTTAAATTCTAAATAACTGCAAAATCACAAATGTCCTGATTGGTTTACATCAAAAACTACTTTTACCAGTAATTCATTCTTTTTCAGTGTTTCCATTCATTTTATTAAATACGAACAATATCGAATAAAATCCCAAGAAAAGTATTAATTTACACGTTAACCTTTAAAAAAGGCCAAAAATGTAAAACATAAAAAATTTAATTTTAAAAAGTGAACGTGTTCTTTTACAGCATTTGACCTTAATGTTATATTATTTTTTAGAGAAAGAGAAATTATGTTCATCAAGGATCAAAAACTGTAAATACTTTTGAAAATGATTCTTTTTCAGATTTTCCTTGTTTTGTTAGATTTCTGACATGAAGTCTAATAAAATCACAGAAAAGGTTTAAATTTACTGTAAAACAAACAAAAAAATAGGCCAAAACTGTGAACATCCACCTTACATTTTTAAAATTACACTATTTTGTTTTTAAACTGAATTTTAGCATGCTAGCTCGAGCTAATTAGCACTAAAACGAGCTGCAGCTAATGCTAATAACATTAGCTTTGCATGTATTTAGTCGTGAGCTGCGGTCAGATATCCAGACTTGTGTACTTTGTCAGATTCCAGCAAAGTATTAAATAATTCACAAACTCTGTCCTGCTGCGACTGCATCCGGTTGGATTTGGCGGTTTGCAGCTTTTCTGACCCACAATCCTCTGCACAGCTGCCGCGTTGCACAAATGTTTAAACAAGTTTGATAACACAACATACTGCAGGTTCTGAAGCACGTGGACATGTCGAGGTCTAAGTGTAGAAAACAGTCTTCAAAGAAAAAGAAAACGTTTGCATTTTAGACGCAGCCACATTCTCGCTTTGTTCTGTTTTATTTTGAAAGGATCGCTCTCCTCGTGTGTGATTGGTTGTTTTCACTTCCTCCTTTTGTATTTACCTGCACTTCCTGTCTGTCCTCGCGGAGTTCACCTGTCCTGTTCACATAAACACAGTCTGCTGGTTCCTTCCTCTCGTCGTCGGCTCACCTGGACGTCCTGGTTCTGTTCGTCTGCTGCCGGTTCGTACCTTTGCTTTGCTCTGTGTCTCACCGGGTTTGGGTTTCTGGTGGTTTAGATTCAGATCCTGGTTCTTTAGTTCATATTAAACCAGCTGCTCCTCTGCGGCCTGTTCATCGTCACCGGGTTTTATTTTGGTGCCGCTTCGATGATGTCGGTGTTTCTGCTCTGGGATCCCGACCCGATCCGTTTTTAGACTTAAAACCTGACATGCAGCAGCAGCAGCAGAACCAGACGGGTTGAGGTTCTTCTTCTTGCAAATCTGTGCAGGTCAAATGTTTGATGTATTGTTGCGTTCAGAGCGGCAGACTGACCCGTGCAGCACCATGAGAAACGGATCCTTCAGGTCGGTTCTGAAGGTTTTTTAAGCTGTTTTAAGTCCAGTTTGGAGGTATTTGGGACATTTTTAGACACATTTGATTTAACTTCAGAGCAGAAATCTGCCTCATATGGACGAGCTCTGATTGATTCCAGGTGATTTTGAGGCCTTTTGTACAATTTCTGAGTCATTTAAAACAAGTTTCAAAGCATTTTAGACAGTTTTCAACTCATTTAGGACACATTTGAAGTTTTTCTCAGATGATTCCTTTGAGTCCATCCAGACTTTGGTTTGCTTCTTTTGGCTGCAGCTTCTGGGTCAGTCCTGCATTGTTCAGCACTTTGAGTAATTTCTGGACTATTTCTGAATTAATTTGGACAAACTGCGGGTCCTGTTTTACAACTTTGGTCATTTTCAATCCTTTTGAAAAACCTTTGAATCACTTTGGATGATCTGAAGCATTTTAAGCCGTTTTAACTCAAGTTTTGGGACATTTTTTAGACAAACTGAAGTCCTTTGGTGCAACTTTGGGTCATTTCAGACCAGTTTTAAGTCGTTTTGGAGAAATCTGACTCATATGGACGAGCTTGAATTGATTCTAGGTGATTTTGAGGCCTTTTGTCCAGTTTCTGAGTCGTTTTTGACACGTTTCAAAGCATTTCAGGCAGTTTTGAACCCATTTCGGACACGTTTTCACATTTTGCCGACTCATTGTTCAGCAGTTTGTTGTTTCCTGAGTCCTTCACAGCAGCTTTCATCCCGACGGTCTTTGAGTTTGTACGAGAACTTTAACACGTTTATGTGCCGCTCTGCGTCAACCTGTAGTGACCTAATGATTCCTGTTCGCCCGGCGGGGGGCGTGAAGCTCACCACAAACCTTCCAATGTTTCTGGGGAGATTTTATTCCGACCAGAAACAGAATTTACTTTCATCTAATCGTATATTTGGGTTTGGCCGGACTTCAGAGCCGACTGGAAATCAGTTAAACGTGTCTTGTGCTGTTTTTCTTGTGATTCTGTGTTTTCTGATCTGTGGTTCCTGCATAAATCCATATTCCTGCGGACGTCCTTCTTTAAAGTGCAGCTGCTAATGAAGGGAGCCGCTAATGGATCCACATGACGGATGAGTCAGGATGTTTCCCCTCTGATGTTCTGCCAAACGGCTCGCGTTGCTCCGCCATGCAGGAAAACACCTTAAGAGCCGTTTTTTTTTAATCCTCAGCACATTTCAAGTCGTCTGCGCTGCTCAAAGACGCGCCGCCGCTGCAAACGAGCTGTGAAAGCGGCCGAGCTGATTAATTGATCGACCGATCAGAGGCGTGTCGAGGATTCGGCTCCACGTCCCATCAAACAGGGACAAACACGCGATTCTTTAAATTCTCCTGCAGCTTGGATCAGAACCGGGCCGAGAGCTGAAGCTGCACATGAAGAGTTTAATCCTACGCAAGAAAAAACAAAAAGGGTTTTTAAACTGAAATGATTCTGGAACAGTTTTCTGTTATTGGACAGATTTGCCGCCTGGTTTGTTAAATTATAGATGATGTGAAGTAAAATCACAGAAAGTCGGGTTTTAAAAGCCCAGAATGAGCAATAAGTGTTCTAAGTGCTGCTTTGTTCTGTTTGACACAAAACACACATTATAATGTATTTAAATCAGCAAAATGATTATTTTACTGATATTTGAAAGAAAATGAGTGTGTTGAAGACTGAAATTGTTCATTTTTATTTTGATTGTCTTACTGTTTTGGTAAATTACAGAAAAAGGCACGTGTTCATGATTTAAAAATAAATAAACCTAAAGTATTTGTATAAATATATTTGAGGGGGGAAATGAACAGGACTGAAAAATGGTGATTTTTAAAAATGATTTTGCAATTTTCTTTTAAATTCTAAATAAATTGCAGAATCACAAATTTACTGGTTAGTTTACATCAAACTACTGCTTTTACCAGTAATTCATCATAAAATTAGATTATTGTTAATGTGTAGAATCGGCAGAAAAATGGTTCATAATTTAAAAAAAAAAAAAAAAAAGATTTAGAAAAGATTTTTCGTTAAATCCAGATAATATCTAATAAAATCACAAAAGTATTGATTTACACATTAACCATAAAAAAAGTCCAATAATGTAAAATATGTCTACATAAAAAATAATCTTAAAAAAAAGAAGATAAATTGTTCTTCTGCAGCATAGCACAACATAATTTTACATTTTAGAGAAAAATTCTGTATATTAAGGACTGAAATTATTAATAATATTTTGTTTTTTACAAAATTGTTAGTTTACAGATAAAATTACAGAAAAGTATAAAAGGTATGTGTTGACTATTTAAATATATTTTATTTGTATAAATGATTTGAGAAAAATAATGTGACAAATTTTCTTTATTCAGAATCTTTTATTTGTTCCTGTTTAAATTCTAAATAACTGCAAAATCACACATACGGGTTTGTTTACATCAAACTACTGCTTTAACCAGTCATTCATTGTTTTACGATGTTTGACGGTAAAATTACGTTATTTTTACTCAGAAAAAATGGTTTTAAAGAACGTCTTCCCCATTTAGTTAAATCCAGATAATATCCAATAAAATCACAGAAACGTATTAATTTACACGTCGGCCATTAAAAACTGTAAAATATGTCTTCATCAAAAAATATATATATTTAAGAAAAAGGTTTTTTTTGTTGTTTTTTTTGTTTGTTTTTTTTTTTACAGTGTGACACATTTCTAGAGAAAGAAATTCTGTATATTGAGGATTAAAAACTATTTTTAAAATGGTTGTTTTACAGATTATTA